CTTGGCGTCTAATGTCAAATATCAAGATCCATTGGTGCACATGGAAGTGTAACCCCACATATGGAAACGGGACGGGACGAGGATGCGTGCAATATGTATAGAAAAACTTAGATCAATTATATTTTGGACTTTTTAATTATTTTAACACTTGTTAATCTCTAAATAACGAAGTTGTTATCAATTTATTGATTCTTATTTGATTTTATGAGTACTTGTAGCATCGACGCTATGACATATAATAAAGTGAATTTCTCAATTAGATGCACCTTTGTATCTCTCCTTTAGCTTTGCATGTGACTTAGAAGAGTTCCACAAGGCAATTAAGTTCATCGTTTAACTAGCCTATGGAGAAGGGTGTAGGAAAAGTTAGCTGAGACGAAGACATTTGCCAAGCATTTCCTCATTGGCAAGCTAGGTTCAGAGCCTTGCCTCATCGGCGGACTCCAAAAAGGCTTTTCAAGGTTCGAAGAACCATTTGAGTTATTCATGAAGACATGGACATTATGTGACACATGCTTTTGATTCTATTGTAACTTGTACGTTGTGTCCACATGGAAAGAGGTAGTAACAAACTCGATTTTGAAAAGCAAGAGAGGAAATGGAATGCCTAGACCCGTGCATTAAAGCGTCGAGTCATCTTGAATCCGAATGACCCGATAGCCGACAACTCTAAATGCGGAGATTGTCCTTGACTATATTTATGCATTACAAGTATGCCCCGAATGCCCATCCTAAGGCGCTTTTAGGAACTCGAAATTATAAAGTGATTCCAACTCTTGCTTTTTTGCTTTTGGTGCTAAAGCCTTGACATTTAAAAACTTTGAGCACTTTGGGATAAGTTCAAAAGTACTCTCACTTCTTGGAGTGAGGGATGCAATTGATAATTTTGGATACGTGTACATTTTAATTTAAGATTGAATTTTCGAATTTATGTATAGGAATATGAGGAGCACTTGATAATAGAAGTAATTCACCATCATTTGGCTGTCCTTATGGTGTCTTCAATTTTCAGTGAACTGGACAATTAGTCTGTGAAAGTCAATTGCAAGCACTACATAACCTCTATGATGCTCCTAGTTTCTTTCCCCTTTTTTTTATATGTAATTAATTTTTAAGTAAATTAGAGAAAAGAAATCATGGAAGGCGGGATCGATACGTACAACACCTAGTGTCCAACATTTATGACTAGTATTACTGGGACGTCTAATTTCATTCGCTCCCCTATCTTTCGTCTCTCAGTGTTGGCGTCAGTTCAGCAAAGTACTTTCGCGATTATCAACATATTCTAAGTACCAAGATTAATACTTTACAAGAAAGAAATCATTTTAACAGGTCACGGGTGTCTGAATCATAAGTGTTAATAGGTCACAGGTTTCTAAATTATAGTGTTTTGAGGTCACAGGTACCTGATTCATAGTGTTAACAGGTAACAAGTTTCTGAATCATAGTGTTCTCA